AGTTTCCGAAACGTCAGTTCGAATACAATATGGTCCATGAATTCGCCCTCTCTACTTCTTCGTCTTCTTCGGGAGATGATGAACGCGATACAATGTCTGGACCTCGAATCTTTACGCATATCGATATATATATATATATATGATGATGATGATGATGATGATGATAAATAATGAAAAACGGAAGAGGTTCTTCGGAAAAATCGAAGTCGTTCGCCCATATTCAGAACAGAATTGGGTCCAGAACGCCCCCTGCGGAACGCCACTGTGAACGGATGCCCATTCCGATTTAGCGTTTCCGATACACACACGCTGAGACCCGCCCGTAAGAAAATCGGTTAACTATTTCAACAGATTTCCATTCACACTCACATGACATAGTTTAATTATAAGTCGTCTGTGTGGAACACTGTCAAATGCCTTTCGGAAGTCAATGTACACGGCGTCGACTGATAAGCCCATGTCGACTGATTATGCCCAGCTCTCCATGGATACCAGGAGGTTAGTGAGACAGGATCGACCCCTTCGAAATCCATGCTGATGCAACCTGAGCAGGTGGTTTGCTTCAAGAGGCGTTGTACTAGATCTTTCTCCAGAAGTGATGGCACTTAGGGTTCATACTTGGAACTATATCATAAATACGGTCTTCGACCACTGTGGATCAGAAGACTCCAAAATGGACTAAATTCCATATTCAAGGTCACCCATGATCATGATATTCGCAAAACGAATTCACTAACAAACCAAAACGCCCCCATAAACACTAGAAATAACGAAGATATTATAATTCAATTCAATTCAATTATTTTATTAAAGACCCGTCGGGGTCCCATCAAAGCAAGTAAAAATAAATTTACATGCAAATTTTAGACGATGTAGGCAAAATCTGCACAAAGTGCAATGCATAGTTTTTGAGATTAGAAGTCCGTTAAGCAAAATGAAAATGAAGAAAATGAAGGATCCCCAAATCCACAAAGTCCCAACGGTCGAATTTCTACACCATAAGATATGCCACTATCTGGAATGCTCTTCCAAGTTCTATCAGGAAAAGTCGAACCCTAATCGAGTTTAAAATAAAAGCTAAGAAACTCTTTTCAAATAACAATACATATTTACTTTTGAATGAGATAGGACATTTTTCAAGCCAATTATATGATTTAGAATTTGGTCCAAAAGGGCTCTGATGATGCCAGCCGCTTGAATAATGTCGGAACATAGCATTGAAAACAATCAAATTTACGAAAGACAACATTAATGATAAACATGGAAGAGGTAGTGATATTCTTTCTTTCTTTCCTCCCTTTCTCGTCTCCTTCAGCTATGCCACCTGATGCACAATATCCCTTAGGAGCTAATAATAACATACCTTTCGATAAAACCCTGCATATTATTTGTGCGTAAGTCTATATTAAGGCCGTATTAAACATATATAAACAACTATATTAGATCACGGCAAACAGTCGACCGCTACTGCTATAATGTCACATTCACAAGAACAATATGATACAAGATGCAATATTATTTTGACAGCTTTGATTTTGACGTACCATTGAATGTTTCTTACTCCTGATATATATTCATCTTTTCTAGCTATTAGTCCAGACACCTATGGCAAACCTGAAAAACATAACCGAACCGTGCGACCGCCGCTTAGCAACTGGCCAGATAGACTGACAACCGACAACTAGAAGACATACAAATTTGCTGATAGGAGCGAGCAGGCCAGTTCCAGGTCGCAGTTCAGAAGACGAAGATGCGGTCACTGGAACAAGAAATTTATTGGCCTGACGTTTCGGATTCTCACTCGAATCCATCATCAGAGACATTCGCAGATAAAGGTGATGGTGGCACAAGACGAGCAGTATTTATAGCACGTGGCTGCCGTGGAACCGTATGGGCACTGCAATTAACAGTTCTCGCAATCACCGCTGGTGTAGTAATCGATGCAGTGGTGGCTTGTCAGTCCGAGTCGGTAATTGCCGCGATGTCGTCATCCATGCTGGATGCTGATGGGACGATTGCTCGGCAAATTGGCTCACTGTCACTGTGATAGTTGCTCACCCGCGCCCTCCCCACGTGACTGATTCCCCTGCCCAGGGGAAATCTCAGCAAGGAATATGGTACCAGGAGGTCATTGGGCTGGTTGATGGATTGCGGGCCTGTGAACCATGACTCGAGCAGCTCGCGGCTCACGCGGTTGTCATCTCTTGCGAGGATTTCGGCCTCTTGAAATTTGAAACTATGGTCGGGTCCCGTCGAGTGTGCCGCCAACTGAGAGCTAACGTCTCCCCGCCCCACTGCTGCTGCGTGCTCGGCAATTCGCGTACGGAGTAATCCTCCAGCCTCTCCGACATGGTTGCTTTGTCCGCAACTACACCAGATCCAGTAAAAGACTCCAGACTTTTCCTGCCGTGGCAGCGGGTCTTATGGCCTCGTGACTTGGCGCCTAATGGTTGCTTCCGGCCTGTGTGCAACCCCAACTCCAAGTGGAGTGAGAAGACGATTGACGGCTTCCGAGACGTTCTTCACGTACGGAAGAGCCCGCCAAAATTTGGGGCCGGTTGGATTTGGTCTCTGGTGTCCTTTTCGTATGCACTGGTTGACAACGTTGCGCGGGTAACCATTGGCTCTCATTACCCGTCGAAGATATTGTAATTCAGCAACCTTGTCTTCCATTCCACTGCAGTGCGTCTCAACGCGCCAGTATAGCGCCCTTACGCAAATGCGTTTGTGACTGATCGGGTGGTTGCTATTGAAGTTCAATATTTGCGTCGTATTTGTCGCTTTCCTGAACACTTTGGTTTTTAGGCCACCACAATCTTTGCGACAGACGAGGAGATCCAGGAAGGCCAACTTATTGTTTTCCTCCTCCTCCTCCTCCTCCTCCACCGTAAATTGAATGTCCGGTAAGATGGCGTTGAGATGTTCTTTGAATGTCAGCACGTGATCCCGTTCGATGACGACGAAGGTGTCATCCACATACCGAGCCCAGAATTTCGGTCTGTTACAAGACAAACTGAATCACATGCAAACGTGGTGTGATGAGTGGTGCCTTAGCCTCAATCGTAACAAATGCCAACTTATACAAATACGATCGACAAAAGGAGGCCGTTGAGATTTGAATTTCACAATTCCATAGGAAGTCACCAACTCGAATCTGTCAACGAGTTAAGAGACCTCGGTGTGTGGATGACGTCAGCTCTATCACTGCGCCAAGGTATCAAGAAATGCTATGGGTATCCTAGGCGCAATTAGAAGATCCTTCCTCAATTTTGACGAAGAACGTTTCGACCGAGTATTTGGAGCACTCGTTCGACCAATGTTGGACTATTTTGTTCAGTCATGGTGTCCCTAGACGAAGCAAGATTACGCTCTTTTGGAGAACGTACAACGAAGAGCGACCAAGCTAGTCGGCGGATTAGGTAGCTTACCTTATGAGAGACGCTTAGAAAAGCTAGATATTTTCTCTATTATAGCCAATACAGATGGGATATTTTATGTATGTATATTGAAGGGTTACAGGCAGAGCCCTTGATGACCCTATTTATGTACAGTGCTTTCGCAGATTCATACTCAAAAATAAAATAAAATTGCAGGCATTTAAAATGTGATTGGGTCACAGGTCAATCGTAATCATAATGTAGTGCATGGGGTCACTGTAAATTAGTGCGGAAGATTGTATATGACAGATTTTACAAAACTGGCTTTGCATAGTCATGCTGTACAAGCCGATTTCTGTCGAAAACTAGACGAGCAAGTTTTCTTTTAAACACACAAACTGTGTCAGCCGTCACCATCTCGCTTGGAAGCGAGTTCCACGGCCTGACAACTCGCTGGCTGAAAGAAAAATTTCGTCGGTCTAAACGTGTTCGCTCATTCCCGACTTTGAATGCATGGCCGCGTAGTTGGTTTGTACGGGCGAACTCAAAGAAGTCCTCTGCCCTTAATGAGCAACCCTGACCGCGAACAATCCGGAACGTCCAGAGTAGACTGTAGTTTATTTGTCTATAAGAGAGAGGGAATAGGCCAAGCAAATTTAGCCTCTCCTGATAAGACAAATGCTTTAGACCGTCAACCATCTTTGTCGCTCTGCGTTGCACCTGTTCCAGTAAGTTGATATCCTTCCTCATCCATGGTGAAGCTGCTGGCATTCCATACTCTAGATGAGGTCTTACAAAGACACCAAAGAGTCTTTCGAAGAGTTCAGGAGGAAATATTTTAAATGCACGTCTGATCCAGTGTAGAGTACTAGTTGCCTTCTGTACCATCTTTCTGCAGTGTTCTGATGGCGATAGATTTATGGTTGTCCATACGCCCAGATCTCTGTGTCTTTCCACAGTTTCTAACCTCGTCCCGTCAATATAGTACTGGTGTTTGGGAGAGGCATTGCGGCCGGTGTTCAGGTGCAAAACTACGCATTTGGACACGTTAAACTTCAAAAGCCGTCTGTTCGACCAAGCACACAGTTTGTTGATGTTCGACTGCAACTTCTCTGCGTCATCATCACACTTGACTTCACTCCATATTTTTATGTCATCCGCGAACATGAGAGCCTAGCAATTCACTTTGCTGATGCAGTCATTAACATAAATCAGGAAGAGTACTGGGCCTAAGCCAGAACCCTGTGGGACACCACTTTCCACCTTTACCCATTTCGAGGTGGAATTTCCAACGACGACTCTTGTAGTCTGGAGGACAGAAAACTCCTGATCCACTTAAACATTCTCCCTTGAATCCCTACATCCCAGATCTTTTGCAAAAGAAGCCTGTGTGGGACACTGTCAAAGGCCTTCTTGAAGTCAAAAAATATGACATCTACTGGAAAACCCTTATCGGTTGCTCGTGTCCACTTCTCGTGTGAGTAAAGAACACTCGTTAAGCAGGAGCGCCCTGGACGAAAGCCGTGTTGGGCACCGCACAATATTTTGTTCTGTTCCAGGTATTTCAGCAAGTGTCTTTTGATAATGCGTTCCATTATTTTACACGCGATGCAAGTAAGACTGACAGGACGATAATTTCCGCAGTCAAGTCTTGAGCCTCCCTTATGGATCGGAGTAATCAGTGCGCACTTCCATTCTTCCGGTAGCTCGCCGTCTTCAAATGACTTTTGAAATATTGCGGATAAGGGTTTACACAGTTCATTAGCAAGTTCGCGAAGTGCTAGGGCGGGAATTCTATCTGGGCCCGGCGATTTGGCAGGTTTCAGCCGGAGTAGCTCGGCCCTAACAATGGTAGATGAAAAGAGTGGTTCCTCGGTTAAGGAGGGTAGGGAGGGGATAGGATGGGGAAGGGTACTGGGAGGAGAGGTTGTTTGGCGAATGGATGGATGGGCAAATATAGCACTAGGTTCTCGGGTGAAGACGGACTGAAAGAAGTCGGAAAGGAGGGACGCTTTAACCTGGTCATCAATCTCCACTTTTCCATCTGCAGACCTGAGGGCAGGGATTAGCTCCTGAGTCCTTTTAGTACTTCGTATATAACCATATAGAATTTTCGGATGCACCAACGAGTTTCGGAGTATGTTCAGTTCAAACTTCTTTCGCAGCTTAGAGGCCTCACTTTTACAGACGTTCGTTGCCGCTTATATTCCTGTAAGTGTTCGTCGGAGCCAGTTTGTCTGTAACTCCTCCACAGACGATTCCTTTTTCTGAAAGAGGCCTTCAAGTCCGGGTTTATCCATTTTGGGCGGTTTGTGATTGTCTTCCTTCTAAGAGGACAATTGGAATAAACAATCTCTTTCAGTAAGGAACAGAAAGTATTCCAGTTGTCGTTTGCTCGACCATGCAGTTCAGTCTCCCATGATAAAGCTGCCGCTTCCCTCCTCATGAGAGAATAGTCACCTTTCCAAATGTTCCTCTCCCACCTCTCGGGTTGGGCGGGTTTGTAAAACAGTGAGTACTCGAAATAGAGCGTGATGTGGTCGCTTGACCCTAATGGCTGTCGGTCCTGCAGGTCTAACACGTTTTCCTCCTCTCGGGTAAAAATAAGATCATGGCAGTTCGACTGCTGCCCTTCCCTGACCCGTGTTCCAAAGGTAACATTCTGGCAGAGAAGTTTGTCCGTTGCCCATTGTAGTAGTTTGTGATTAAATCTGTCTTGCGGCCCTTGTGCAGTCCACGTTAGCCAATCAATGCCAGGAGCGTTAAAATCCCCAACGATAAGGGCGTCTTTCTTCTCGCTAGCTTGGTACAGTTCGGATATGAGCATGAGATCTTGGTCAGAAGTATGGTTAGGTGAACGGTACACCACCGAAAGCGTCAATGATCGGACATTCTTAGTAGATATGGTAACGCTTAGCAGTTCCACATCCCGTACCGGTCTGTGTACATCAGCCATAGCGCTTAGCTTGCGAGTGACATAAATTATGACTCCTCCTCCTCGACTTAGTCTATCTCTCCTGAATAGCTGATATCCTCTAAGTGATATTTCTGAATCTGCGATATCTTCAGTAAGCCACGTTTCTGTGAATGCCATAATGTCTGGCTTAATTACATCAACTAAGTCTCTTAGTCCATCTAGTTTGTTGAAGAGGCTTTGCACATTTGCCGATATAACCTTCAATGACTGATTTGTTGGAGAGGCCCGGCCTTCATTGTGACGGGTTCTGACCACAGGAAAGACCCCTTTGTCTGGACTATTTGTCCATTTTTGATCTTCAGCCCTTTCTCTCCTTTGCCAATCCTCTCCTTCAATTCTGATCTCAGTTCTCTCATTTTCAGTCTTTCCCTCGGTTCGTAATCTGGTTGAAAAAACACTTCCTTGTGCGAATTGCGTATGGTCGTTCTACTTTCTAACAAAAGCGCTGCTTGGGCTTCGTTTTCCAAAATAACCTTCAGGGGTCTTGGGGATTTTTCTAGGTCACGATTTGGGTCCGCTCTGCCTAGTCGGAAAGCTTTTTTAACGGTGAATATTTCCCCATCCTGCAGGACGGCACTGGCGTACTGATGAAGAAGGTCTAGGTCGTTCGTCACTCGTTCCTTCGGAATGCAGGACGTGGACTCTGGGGCGCCCCTTATGACAATATTTTGCTTACGATTTATGGAAGAGCTCATTACTGTCCCGTCCGCGCTAGGACGATATAATGCTACTGTAGTATTCCCGACGGCTGTCGTCACTTCAACATTTGAATGATTTTCGGCCGGCGAAGGGAGTTTAGGGCATGGATTTTCATGTGACGTACTTGCTTCGGCAGTGGAGGTCTTACAATCATTACCCTGTTACAATGTACTGCACGAAGGCTTATCGTTTCCTTTTCCATAAACGGAATGGTTAGGGCACTTTCCAGATGAGTTAGCCTTGTGAAGAAGTGGAGTAACAGCATTGCCTTCCAAGAATAACGGCGAGTCCTTGTAGTTCCTAACAGATCTTCTGAGGGTCATCCTGGCTTTCCCAACTTTATTGTTCGATGATTTGGCAGGTTTTGTTACTATAGCAGGTAATGGAACCTGACTTATTTTTAATGCATTAGTGTCGACTGCCACGTTATCCACCGGAACTGATTTGTCTAGAGTTTACTCTGGAGACATAACTCGCTTCCTCTTCCTGACCGGCTTTGACTTTTCCGCGCTAGCGCCTTTATTAGTAGGATGTTCGTCGCCGATCGATCGGAAATTTGGCGGATTATTTGGTAATTCTATCTTACTGTGCTTAAGAATAGCCATGATGATGTCCGTCAGTAGGCCTTGCTTCTCTTCTAGCGTCTGGACCCGCTTCTCAAGTTCCTTACAGCCGACGCAGCGACCGACAAGCGCAGAATCCGTCCCGTCTGTCATACAGTTTTCGAGGCCTCTTGGCAGTGCATCGGTTCTTATTTCCTGTCTTATCTCTTCGAGCCTATTGTGCGTAATCTCTCTGGAGTCTAATGATTCCAGCGGCATTTTATCGCAAGAGACTGCTAATGAATTAAAGACCGTTTTCAGCTGCTCTTCTGTAGTTGATAAACATATCTGACTAGCGCCAAACCGTTCATCGATAGCGCAGTGGCTAACACTGTGGCCTCCGAGACCGCAGGTACCGAGTTCAAATCCCGGTTGCACAACTTTTGTGAACGAATTTTTTTATAACAAATTGACTCATTGCTGATTATTTTCAAACTCTTCAAACAGTTCTAGAGTAGTGCAGGATGTTTTCAACAATTGTTAGAATGAAGAATTTGCCAATTATGAAGTAAAATAGGAAACGACTCAGCCGTTTATAGTTTTCGACGTAGATCACGGAGAAAATTTGTCAAGTAGGGAGACTTGTACAGATGGTCGGACGATTGCAAATATCTTTTGATGGTGAATTTGTGGTATACTTCACCGGTGCGAATGAGAAGACTAATCAGTGGTGCTGTTCCTTGAAGAATTCGGGTAGAATCTTCCTCCTGATACCGTGGGAAATAACGTCGGGATCCGAAAATTCCAATAATGATAGAACTTTCGAGTTGGTGTACTTGTAATCCAAATCCAAAGGATACGTCGTCAGTTCGCAATTTATTTCCACGCGACGTTCAGTCTGCCCTGTACTATCAAGTAAATTCGACGAAAACTCGGAGAGCTGGGGATACAACTCAAATTCGAAGGACGCGCCTGGACATGATCATGGCCCTCAGGATCGTCCGCGGGCTAGACTGTGCTATTCAATTTGACGATTTCTTCGAAATGACGAGGACGACCAATCCTCGAGGCCACCAACACAAATGGAAGCTAAAATATGCCAAACTGGAATTGCGGGCCAAATTCTCCTCCCACCGGCTGGTTGAGGGATGGAACAAATTGCCGAATTCCGTTGTCTTAGCGAAAAACGCTGAGACCTTCAAAAGAACACTAGATAAATGTGTGCTTGATGGTCAGACATTTACATGAAATAAATGATTGCCGTAATTGCTATGTAAATATCTGCATGTTTTTTATACGTCTATCTGTAAATAGGGTTTTCCAAGGCTCTGCCTTTATTCCTCATATATATTGAATCATACTGAATGCCTTCTAGTTTATTTCGGCCGTCTGAGGGCAGTATACCGAAGAAAATTGGGCAGTAATCTACGAGAGGCAAAGCGCGCATTTTGGAAAGTTGTTTTCTTAGTACATTTAAGGTGAAATTTTTACATATGAATCCACACAGGCGAGTGGCTTTCGGTGATATTTGTTGGACGTGGGGAGATAGATCAAGGGTATTAGTATAGCTGAGACCTAAATCTTTTACCGTTGGGACCTCCGTTATTTCATTATCCTAGAAAATTATTGGTGTAAGTTTTTGTGGGCCAAAGATCAGGAGATGGCATTTTTCGGGTGAAAAGCGCATCTGCTATTGACTACTCCATTCGTTGAGTTTTCTGAGGTCAATTTCATTTGTACGGTAATTATTGGCAACTGTGTTCCCGTTATATGCATATGCGAGTTTAAGGTCGTCCGTATATAAAAACGTCTTTGCTGATACTGATATGGACGATAAGTCGTGAATATATGAGAAATAGAAGGGGGCCTAGGATAGTACCATGAAGTACTCCACTGGTAAGAGAGGATGGTTCTGAGACCATGCTTCGAATTTGTACCACTTGATATAGGTTTTGTGGAGGTCAAGGATGTGCGATCGACTTAAACCACGCACAATAAGTCCGTTTCGTCTACTGGCAGAAGTCAGCGAGCTGTGAGGACTAGTTTATTCTGTACACAGGGCAGGTTGCCGTAAGTTGGCGATTTGCTTGCAACAGAGAAGAGTCCAATCACGGAGAGCGTCAGTCACGGTGTGTATTGTTAACGCGAGTGTGTGTCTAAGTTAGCATGAGGGGTTGACTGTCTGCGTGGTGGTCGTGTGATTGGACTAATTAGGGGACGAATGGAGGGTGCATACTCACAAGGCCTCACGGGAATCAAGCCAAAGCTTTCGACGCGCGTTAGGCGATACTAGTTTTTGAGTGCAGCCGGGGTTCACTGCAGCTGGACCGTAGGTGTCCCAGTTCTAGCCGGCGGGGGTGGTCGTGCGTCAGCGGCCTGTCAGCGCTTATCGCGGTCATCGACCGACAAAACGGAGCCGGAGAAAAGGGGGGCTGGAGCGGCTGCTACACCCCCCCCCCAGACACCAAACGAAGTGAAGGCATCGACATGCTAGCCAGCCACAAACCTGCCGGGCCAGTGGACGTGACGGCCAGATCGTGTGCGGCGAACCGGAGGGGGACTGTCGCCAGAAGATGGAGACACCACTGTTTGCGGCGGGGTACAGTGTTGGGGTGAGGGAAGGTCACTGTCGTCGATGTAGGCCGGCTTGACGCGATCAATGCTGACTGTGTCGGTCTTGCCGTTGCGGTCGATGACAACGTCTTTGTCAGATCGACGAAGGACTTTATACGGCCCCTCGTAGGGTGGTTGGATTGGTCGTCGGACAGCGTCATGCCGAACCAAGACGAAATCGCACTTATCCAGGTCGGAAGGGATGAAGGAATTGGCCGGTGACGTCCGAGGGGCGTTGCGCGGAGTTTGCGCATGACACTACGCAGCTGCTCCACATAACTGCAAGGTTCGAACAACGTTAGCATGTTTGAGGGAGACACTAACTCACCGGGCAGTCGTAGGGAAGTTCCGTAGACAAGATCAGCTGCAGTGCAACCGATGTCGGCCTTGAGAGTGGTACGGAGGGACAACAGCACCAGGGGAAGGTGATCAGACCATCGGGAAGGATCGGGCTGGGCCATAAGGGAAGTCTTGAGCTGTCGATGAAAGCGTTCGACGAGACCATTTGCTTGAGGGTGGTACGCTGTTGTTCGGATTCGGTTGGTACCGAGAAGGGATGTGAGTTCGCGAAACAGCGTGGACTCGAATTGGGATCCGCGGTCAGTGGTGACAGTCGCAGGAACTCCAAAATTGGACACCCAGTGAGTCAAGAAAGCTCTTGTTACGGTTTCGGCACTGATGTCCGGAATAGGCACAACAACCGGCCACCGAGTAAAGCGATCAATGCATGTCAGCACATAGGTAGAACCGTTAGATGGTGGCAGTGGTCCTACCAGGTCAGTGTGCACATGACTGAAGCGTGCAGCAGGAGTGACGAAAGTTCCTGGCGGAGTAGTAGTATGCCGATGCGTTTTGGCTCGCTGAAATGACAGACAGGATCGAGTCCAATGCCGTACATCCCGGTTGATGTCGGGCCAGACGAATCGGTCAGTGATGAGTTTCACTGTCGCCCGGACTCCAGGGTGGGATAGATTGTGAAGGGCGTTGAACACCTGTCGTCGTAAAGTTGCAGGGACAAAGGGACGTTCATGTCCGGTAGAAAGGTCACAGGGGATGTGCCGGTGCCAGTGGGAAGGGGGAAATCTTGAAGGCGTAAAGAAGAGTCCTCGTGGCGGCATTGGGAGAGCTCGTCGTCCGATCGCTGAGCCTCAGCCATGAGCGTGAAGTCTATGGCGTCTGTTGTGATGGAGGCCATCTCGAGTCTTGAAAGAGCATCAGCAACCACATTTTCCTTTCCGTGAACATGTTGGATGTCGCAGGAAAACTGTGAGATGAAGTCAAGATGACGGATTTCACGGGGCGAGTATCGATCGGGAGAGGCCCTCAGTGCAAAAACGAGTGGCTTGTGATCTGTGAGAACAACGAATTCACGACCCTCGAGGAAATGGCGAAAGTGCCGAATGGATAGGTAGACGGCGAGCAGTTCTCGGCCGAAGACAGTGTAGCGGGTCTCCGCAGGGCTTAGCTTTTTCGAGAAGAAAGCCAGAGGTTGTAGAACACCACCAACAATTTGCTGCAGTGATGCACCATGGGGAAGAAAACGGTGATAGTAGTTCACCATCCCCAAGAATCGGCGTAGTTGGCTGATGGTTGTCGGGACGGGGAACGTTGATATGGCCGAAAATTTATCAGGGACAGGCTTGATTCCCTCAGAATCTACTACATGACCCAAGAAAGTTAAACTGGGGACTCCGAAGTCACATTTGGCGGCATTGATGATAACGCCGTAGGAGTCGAGCCGTTCGAAGAGCTGTCGAAGATGAATCTCGTGTTCAGCAGTGTCAGAGCTAGCCACTAGCAAATCATCAATGTAGGCGTAGACGAAGTCGAGACCTCGCAGAACCTGATCAATTAATCGCTGAAAGGTTTGAGTGGCGTTCCTCAGACCAAAGGGCATACGAGTGAACTCGAATAACCCAAAGGGAGTGGTCACTGCAGTTTTCGGAACATCACTGTCCTCGATCGGGATTTGATGGTAGGCACGCACAAGGTCGATCTTAGAGAATATTCGCTTACCATGTAACGAAAGAGTGAAGTCTTGGATGTGCGGGACGGGGTACTGATCGGGGACAGTCACAGAGTTCAACGCCCGATAGTCACCACACGGTCGCCAGTCGCCATTCTTCTTGGGGACAAGGTGGAGGGGTGATGCCCAGCAGCTGTCGGACTGTCGGATGATGCCGAGCTCGAGCATGTGTTCGAACTCTGCCTTGGCAATCTTCAAACGGTCCGGAGCAAGACGACGTGATCGGCAAGATTTGGGAGGTCCGGTGGTGGAAATATGGTGGGTGACTGTGTGTTTAATATCCACTTCTCGAAATGAGGGGTTGGTCAGGCGGGGAAACTGCCTGAGGAGTGAGTGCAAAGGACAGTCAGAAATGGGCATAACAGTAAGAGGGCTGACGCAGGGGTTCACATCGGACTGACAACGGGCATGAAGGTTGGTGCCGCAGTCGACGAGTCGGTGATTCTTCAAATCAACTAGTAGATTGAAGTGAGCTATGAAATCGGCGCCTATGAGGGCGACGGAAACGTCGGCAGTAATAAAAACCCATCGGAAAATCCGACGAAGGCCCAAATCGAGTGTGATGGAGCGCTGTCCAAAAGTGGGGATGCTGGAGTTGTTGGCAGCTGTAAGACAAAAAGAGCTGCGGTGTTTGCGTTCGGCCGGAGTTGGTGGAACCACGCTAACCTCGGCACCAGAGTCGACAAGGAATTTGGCGCCAGCGATACGATCCCAGAGAAACAAACGGCGAGTGTGAAGATTGGCAGCGCTTCCAGCAGCAGTGGCCTCTACTGTCGGGTGGGATCGTCTCCCTGAGGCCGTTGGAGATGCCTTGAAAGAGCATGGCTGAAGACACCGCCGAGCTGCTCCCCCAAATTGTTGGTGATACCAGCAAACGCTACTTGAAGATTGTGGACGGCGGGTGTGGGAAACGGAGGAAGTACGCCGAGGGTTTGGTGTTCGCCGAGGGCCGTTACTGGTAACTGCAGTGAGCTGGGCTTTCAGGCGCATTAATACCTCCTCTAGCCGATCCAAGCGTACGTTAGCACCTTGAGAAATTGGGTTGATGAGTGAGTTCTAGTCTTGGGACATCGCGCTTTAGGTCTCCGGAAGATTGTTCTTGTTGACGAAAAGTTTGCGGAATTCCAGTGTTCGGGGTCACCAATTTGTAGAGGTCAAGGATGTGCGATCGACTTAAACCACGCACAATAAGTCCGTTTCGTCTACTGGCAGAAGTCAGCGAGCTGTGAGGACTAGTTTATTCTGTACACAGGGCAGGTTGCCGTAAGTTGGCGATTTGCTTGCAACAGAGAAGAGTCCAATCACGGAGAGCGTCAGTCACGGTGTGTATTGTTAACGCGAGTGTGTGTCTAAGTTAGCATGAGGGGTTGACTGTCTGCGTGGTGGTCGTGTGATTGGACTAATTAGGGGACGAATGGAGGGTGCATACTCACAAGGCCTCACGGGAATCAAGCCAAAGCTTTCGACGCGCGTTAGGCGATACTAGTTTTTGAGTGCAGCCGGGGTTCACTGCAGCTGGACCGTAGGTGTCCCAGTTCTAGCCGGCGGGGGTGGTCGTGCGTCAGCGGCCTGTCAGCGCTTATCGCGGTCATCGACCGACAAAACGGAGCCGGAGAAAAGGGGGGCTGGAGCGGCTGCTACAGTTTCGAAGATAGGATTTAAGAAAATCGAGAAGGGGAGGCATAATTCCATGACTTTTAAGCTTTACCAGTAACCTTTTATGGGGGACTTTGTCAAAGGCCTTCTTTAGATCGAAGTACTTTGAAGCTACTGTTTTTCCATCATCTCTATTGCTGGAAGAGACTTCCAAAAAAAGTAAGATGGCAGGACTTACATTACTTTTTAGGTAAAAATGCATGTTGAGTGGGCGGAATGAGGTTGGCGTTTATGAGATGTTCTAGCAATTGGTTGTACATTATTTTCTCAAGGATTTTAGCTATAGCTGGTGTTCGCTAAACACCACGATAGTTTTGGTTATGAGATCGGTTGCCGCTTTTAAAGCTATGTGCAATAGTCGAGTATTTCCACATGTCCAGAAGAAGTGCATTTAGCTGGAGTAGGGTGAAAAACTTAGATGGGAGTATTGCAGCATATGTCATATAATAATAATTTTATTTAATGACAATTTACAGGCATTGTCAGGGAAGCGTTAGACACAAATCCGGACGGCAGGGACAAAAAAACTCCTGTGGAAAAGGAATAAAAATAAAGTTCATGGTGGTTTTATGGTTTGTAGGGTTCAGGAGAAAAATAACTGCTGGCGACAAAGTTTTGACCGTCAAGAAGGGATGGGTTGCACGGTATCGGATATTATTAGTCACCAATTCCTTTCATGAATTTCGGTAAAGTCAAAAATAGAGGCGCCGAGGAACAACTGTCGCTGTTGGCCAAAGAAATTGTCCCTGGTGAGACCGGCCATAGTGTTCAGAGACCACAAACGCCATCGCTACGGTACAGTCGGTCAGTGGATTCAGAACCCAAAATTTGTGGAAGCTGTTCTGAATGCAAAAATCGAGTAATAGTTCTCTTAAATAAAGGATAATTTTGCAGAGTTTTCACACTCATGGGTAGTTTATTCCAAATAGCAATTGCATTTACAGAAAAGAACCGACGATATTTAACAGTACGTGCCAGAGGCAGAAATAAAAAGACCTCACGGTGACTGTTACGTCGTGGGTGGATATGATGTGTTAATGAGGTGAGTGGGTTTAATGTGTGATTATATAAGAGTTTAAATAGCAAAAATAGTCCCTTTTGTAATCTACTGAACCATAAAGGATCAAGGCCTGTAAGACGTCAGCGTTCTTGGTAAAGCAAATGTCGGTGTTCTGGGGTTAAAAATCTCTCGGTAAAAAAGTGTTGAACGGATTGTATTTTCTTCCGCTCAGTAGCACGCATGAGGCTAAATAAAAACGAACAGTATTCCAGACCAGGTCTAACGTACATGTTGTAAAGGCGCATTCTGACGTCCCTAGTTTTAAAGTTTCAGAGGATAAACCCGGTCGTTCTGCGTGCTTTGGAGACTATCAAGGCACAGTGCTCCGAGAGATTAAGACTTTTGGAGTATGATACGCCCAAATCCTTTATAAACCCTGGCACATTTTTGGATTGACCTTCAATACTTAGTTGAGGTTGGCGGTCGTCGCCAACCACCATGAATGAGCACTTATGCCAGGAAAGAGAAAGGCGCCATGTGCGGCACCACTGGGCAAAAGCCTGTAGATCGCTCTTTAGGAGCTCAAACACGATGTCATGATCTGCCGGCTTATATCGATATGCAACTTCGGCGCATTACGACTAAGCGAGCGAAGTCGCTTAACTTGTGCGACACTGAAACTCAAGCCACAACTTTTTAGGAACAAATGCGCTCCCTCCATAGCAGATAAGTGGCTCGGAATGTTTCGCAGTACGAAATTATGCTTGCGTTTAATTCGTTCCTCAGTTTCCGAACTTATTACCCCAATAATTTTAAAAGCTTGTTCAAGCACTTTTTCAGAAGTGCTATTTATGTCGCCATAAATCAACTGGTCGACTATTTCGCCGGCTGATGGCCTGCTACGACTAGCAGAGGCGTATTTTTGGACGACTGAAGGGTCGAGAGGTTCTACACGTATTTAAGGGATTTGTGAGTTAATCAGATCTGCGGACGGCGAAGAACATACGCTGGCTTCTGCCATGTCTTCAGTCACGATTTTAGCATCCAGAGACGGTGGGGAGGCCGCAAGCTTTCGCCTTTTAGCACGTGCTCTGCGGGACATTACAGACAAAAAAAGTTTTTCGTTACAGAAAAAGGATCAAAACGTTTCCAACGTACGGAAACGCGCACTGAGTAGCAAGTATTACTGTTTTTTAACTACGAAAACTAGAAAGCGGTAGTAGGGAAAGGATTCACTACAATAGATTTTTTACAAAATACGACTATTTTGCCAGACTGTCAAACAAACTGGGAAAAATTTTTACTTTATATAGAAAGGCGACTTTTGAAACGGACTCAATTAAAAAACAGGCATTAATTACTTAAGAATATCCAGATAAATGCAGAGCTTCACTTATCTTTGAAATTGAGCTGCGCGCCTACGCCGTCAAGTCCAAAACGAGAAATAAGCGGATCCAAAATTTCGTACAGATTTTCAGTGCAAACATTTACATCCGAACTAAGGAACAAATCAGTCCAGTCGTAGGAATTAAGGTATGTTAATAATTCGTTCGAGCGAGTTGATCGGAAATTGCGGAAAAAGCTATACTTTGGGGACGACGTTTTGTCAGCCTCGAATTCCAACGTTGAAACAACTATGTCATGGTCTGAGTCCTTGAGTGGGCCTGGGGATGACACCGACGATGGCTTGCAGTGTCTAAAGACAATTAGGTCAAGTATGCCGGAGCCTCGGGTGGGAAAATCGACAACCTGATTCCACATCCCAACATCCACAGCCTCAAGAAAGTCTTCGAACCTTTTGGAGCCTGATGGCGGAGACCAGCGGACTTCGGGAAGATTAAAGTCACACGCAACCAATTGATACTTAAAGCTTGAGTCGGCCGCAGCATGAAATGTTTGTGAGAGTAAACGATCAAAATTGTCGTTGGCGTTGGGAGGGCGCTAGACGCAGCCAACGAGTAGGGAGAACCAATTTTTTAATGCAACCTGGAGCCAGCAGATGCCGTCTACTGCGGAAAAATGCGGGAGATCCACCGGCAAAAATGTAAGTGTTTGCTTAACGTGGACGCAGCTGCCCCCACCACGGCTATCTTCAATTCAATTCAATTCAATTCAATTATTTTTATTAAAGACCCGTCGGGGTCCCATCAAAGCAAGTAAAAAAAATTACATGCAAATTTTAGACGATGTAGGCAAAATCTGAAAAATGTGCAATGCATAGTTTTTGAGATTAGAGGTCCGTTAAGCAAAATGAAAATGAAAAAAACGAGGGGTGAAAAAAAACTCCAAAGCGAAATTTAAAAATGATTGTAGTAATTTAACAGGAGAAAAAAATTGAATTGGCGATCCTTTCGGATGCAATTATAGCCTAGAAGCGAGAGTTCGGAGTCAGCTACGGAGGTTGATGCCCACGTCTCAGTTACTAAAACAATATCTGGACAATGGACGAACACCAGAGTCTGAAGCAAAGGCATCTTATTAAGCAAGGATCTGGCATTTAAAACAAAAAGTTTGAAGGGAAAGGCTGTTTGTTTGTGAGGGAAGTGGGCTGCATCGTCCAGTTCTGGGCTGCCCACGGAGCAAATGTTCCGAATGCAACCATCCGGTTTTGCAAAAAAATTTTGTGGCATCGAAAACTTCTGACGTGGATAAAAAGGGGTAGGACTTGGGGGAGGGAATGACGAGCAGGTGAACCGGTAACCATTGTTAGCTAACTTATTTTCAGCTGGAAATTCGCGAGCCAAATACTGCAAAGCATTCTCGCCGGAACGAAACTGAGGATTGGATGAGTTAACTGAGCCAGTATAGACAATAGCATGAGGAATAAATTGGTAAAACGGCTGCGGATGAAACAAGTTAGGGGGTGGGGGACGCATTGTTTCCATTGGAGCAAGAGTTTTATTAAACGGCGGAAAAATCGGCATATTTGACCTAAATGCCTCGATATGAGGGCTGGGGGGGGGCAGTTGGGAACACGCTACGTTTTGAGTCGGGGTATTTAAGGCACTGTAAGCCGATTGTGGAGGAAAAGATTTTACAATGGTGCTGGATTTATTGGGTGTCCGAGTGGCTGAGACAACAATTGGATTTGCCTTTGACTTAGACACATGCTTAGGCTTAATAGGGGTTGCTGGGGGAGTCGATAGAGGCGTGTTTATACCAGGCGTGATGGTGTGTTTAAAGAGGTCAGCAGTAAAAGTAGTCGAATTCCTTACGGAATTGACTATGCCGTGACTTGCAGATGGCGCATGCGGTGTTGTAGAGGACATATTCAGACTGACAGTAGGTGTCATTATCTTGGTGTTGGTTTTTGCCGATTTTAGTTTACTCAGTC